CATTATTATTATTTATTATTGTAAATGCACTGACTTTGTCTCTGGCACCAACATGTGTCATCATGGATAATGACCTGATATCAGACTCTCATCCATATTTTCTGTCTGTCTGGTCTCTCTCTTTCTCTGAACTCTCTCTCTAAATGATCTCTCTTTAGTCTCTCTCTCTGAATTCTCTCTCTCTAGTCTCTCTCTGATCTAGTCCCTCTCTCTGGTCTCTCTCTCTAAATTCTCTATGATCGAGTCTCTCTATCTCTCTGAATTCTCTCTCTGGTCTCTCTCTGATCTAGTCCCCCTCTGGTCTCTCTCTCTGCTCTCTCTCTCTAAATTCTCTATGATCGAGTCTCTCTCTCTCTGCTCTCTCTCTCTAGTCTCTCTCTCTGGTCTCTCTCTCTAAATTATCTATGATCGAGTCTCTCTCTCTCTCTGGTCTCTCTCTCTCTGATCTCTCTCTCTGAATTCTCTCTCTCTGCTCTCTCTAAATTCTCTATGATCAGGTCTCTCTCTCTCTCTGAATTCTCTCTCTGGTCTCTCTCTCTCTCTCTCTGATCTCTCTTTCTGAATTCTCTCTGTAGTCTCTCTCTGATCTAGTCTCTCTCTCTCGGGTCTCTCTCTGGTCAAAAGTTTTCTACTGAAAGAAATTGGTCAGAGTTACTAAAGTGTATTGGAAACACAACCGAGTAGAGTAGTTTTTGGAGAACCGTGGAACCAGACTCGCTCAAAAATCAGACTCGAATCAATTCAGTTCAATGACATTTTATTTTTATACCGCCGTAATCACAACAGCACATCTCGAAACATGAAAAGACAATTTGATTTTTGACATAACTCGCTGTGATGAGAAAGACTTATTTATTCATAAAAACTACAGATTTTCTTTTTTGTATCACATCCCGGTGGTGTCCGGTTCCATGTGACCGTGATGAGTTCAAAAGTCGGGCCATGGCTCAGAAAGGTCGGGGAACACAGCCGCAGAGAGTCCAGCGTTGATGCGGGTCTTCATCTTGAGCCTCAGAGCAGTGTGTGTGTTGTGCGTCGCTTAAGCCCGTCCAACTGCCGCCCGGCTTGACCCCGCGACTTCTAACCCTAATCCAGGACGGTCTATTTGTGTCCGCAGCCGAAGCCTCTTCACAGCGTCAGCACTGCTCATTTAGAGAACCACAGCAGTCTCATGTCTGTGGTCCAGGTTTTTTGTATAGCACGGTCCATACATGAGGCAACTCAACGTGCAGAACAAAACACAATCATACAAGACGTTAAAATCACGGGGCATTAAAAAGAGTAAAGATAAAATCCTTCACTTGTTTGCAGTGAAATACAACGTTTCTAACCTGAATTTAACATTGTCAGAGAAGAAGTCTGTCTCACATTTTCAAAAAGACTGTTCTGGATTTTAGTGACTTGAATCTGCCTCAGAGTCCCAGCAGGAGGCTAGTACCTGTGCTCCTCAGAGTCCCAGCAGGAGGCTAGTACCTGTGCTCCTCAGAGTCCCAGCAGGAGGCCAGTCCCTGTGCTCCTCAGAGTCCCAGCAGGAGGCCAGTCCCTGTGATCCTCAGTCTTCACTTTGTTCAAACGTCCGTGTTTTAGAGACAGAGTGTGAGCACCTGAGCTCCGGCTCCTGCTCTGCACTTTGATCGTTGCCAGAGCCATATTTGGTCAAGTGCAGATTTTAATGATGCAAATGACGACACATAGTTTGACTCACGCAGGAAAACCTGGTTCCTGAGTAAACAAACAACAAGAGGCGTTGGAGTCGGAGATGAATCAACCCCAGGGAGCAGGGGCTGCCGACCGGGCTCTTTTCAGCGTCCCACATTCAAGAGAAGAAAAGAAAGTTTAAGACAATTAAGACTTTAGCTTGAAGATTAAGTATTTTTATGATTGTGTAGGACTAAACATGAGGAGGCAGCGTTTCATATTAATGCAACTAAAATCTGGAACAGTCTTCCTGAAAATGTGAGACAGACTTTTGTTTGTTTCTGTCTAGTTTTGTTCAGCACTTTGAGCAGCACATTCTCTAGTTCCTCTATGGTCTCTCTCTGGTCTCTCCTTGGTCTCTCTCTGGTCTCTCTCTGGTCTCTCTCTGGTCTCTCTCTGGTGTCTCTCTGGTCTCTCTCTGGTCTCTCTCTGGTCTCTCCTTGGTCTCTCTCTCTGGTCTCTCTCTGGTCTCTCCTTGGTCTCTCTCTCTGGTCTCTCCTTGGTCTCTCTCTGGTCTCTCTCTGGTCTCTCTCTGGTCTCTCTCTGGTGTCTCTCTGGTCTCTCTCTGGTCTCTCTCTGGTCTCTCCTTGGTCTCTCTCTGGTCTCTCTCTGGTCTCTCTCTGGTCTCTCCTTGGTCTCTCTCTCTGGTCTCTCTCTGGTCTCTCCTTGGTCTCTCTCTCTGGTCTCTCTCTGGTCTCTCCTTGGTCTCTCTCTCTGGTCTCTCTCTGGTCTCTCTTTGGTCTCTCCTTGGTCTCTCTCTGGTCTCTCTCTGATCTCTCCTTGGTCTCTCTCTGGTCTCCTTGGTCTTTCTCTAGTCTCTCTCTGGTCTCTCCTTGGTCCCTCTCTGGTCTCTCTCTAGTCTCTCCTTGGTCCCTCTCTGGTCTCTCCTTGGTCTCGCTCTAGTCTCTCTCTGGTCTCTCTCTGGTCTCTCCTTGGTCTCTCTCTGGTCTCTCTCTGGTCTCTCCTTGGTCTCTCTCTGGTCTCTCTCTGGTCTCTCTCTGGTGTCTATCTGGTCTCTCTCTGGTCTCTCTCTGGTCTCTCTCTGGTCTCTCTCTGGTCTCTCTCTGGTCTCTCCTTGGTCTCTCCTTGGTCTCTCCTTGGTCTCTCCTTGGTCTCTCTCTGGTCTCTCTCTGGTCTCTCCTTGGTCCCTCTCTGGTTTCTCTCTGGTCTCTCCTTGGTCTCTCTCTGGTCTCTCTCTGGTCTTTTTTGCTGGTCTCTCTCTGGTCCCTCTTGCTGGTCTCTTTTGCTGGTCTCTCTCTGGTCTCTCCTCGGTCTCTCTCTGGTCTGTCTTTGATCTGCACTGTACCTGTGGTGTCAGCACTCCATGTGGTTGATTCTATCTCCAGACAGGACCTTTCTGAGTGGAGTTTGCATGTTCTCCCCAGTGTTTGTGTAGGATCCCTCCGGGTGCTCCTGGTTTCCCCTACAGGTAAACCCATAGCCCTCTCTCTGGGCACAGGACTCTCCTGAAAAAGACAATCTGAAACCTCAGTGAGACTTTCTTTGTCAAATATAAATCAATAAATATAGTTATATCATATTATTAATTTCTAGAGATTATTTAAATTTGTGTTCTTTCTTAAATAATCCGTAATATCAATTAGAATAATAATCTACCGTGACACAGTTAGAGGCCGTCGCAGTCCGCGCCGTGATGCAGCACTTACTATTTACAGACGACTTTAGACTGAGGCACATTTGAGGAGATTTGTGACGGCTATTCCCAGCTCCTTAAGACCATAACTGGCTTCTGCAGGAGTCCAGACGGTTTCAGCGCCCTGGTCTCAGCTGGGTCTGACCCGGGTCTCTGCTGGGTCTCTGCTGGGTCTGACCTGGGTCTCTGCTGGGTCTCTGGGCCTGATCTGGGTCTCTGCTGGGTCTGACCTGGGTCTCTGCTGGGTCTCTGCTGGGTCTCTGCTGGGTCTGACCTGGGTCTCTGCTGGGTCTCTGGGCCTGATCTGGGTCTCTGCTGGGTCTGACCTGGGTCTCTGCTGGGTCTCTGCTGGGTCTGACCTGGGTCTCTGCTGGGTCTCTGGGCCTGATCTGGGTCTCTGCTGGGCCTGACCTGGGTCTCTGGGTCTGACCTGGGTCTCTGGTAGGTCTGACCTGGGTCTCTGTTGGGTCTCTGCTGGGTCTAACCTGGGTCTAACCTGGGTCTGAACTGGGTCTCTGTTGAACTTTTCCCACAGACTCTCTCCTTGTTTTGTTTTCCACTTTGTTCTGCGACGCACAGTAAATTCTACTTCCACGTCTCACTCGTCTAATGCACCGCGGTCAAAGAGTCATGAAACAGACTCTGGTCTCTCTCTCTCTGGTCTCTCTCTGGCCTCTCTGGTCTCTCTCTGGTCTCTCTCTGGTCTCTCTCTGGTCTCTCTCTGGCCTTTCTGGTCTCTCTCTGGCCTCTCTGGTCTCTCTCTCTGGTCCCTCTCTCTGATCTCTCTCTGGTCTCTCTCTGGTCTCTCTCTGGTCTCTCTCTGGTCTCTCCTTGGTCTCTCTCTGGTCTCTCTCTGGTCTCTCTCTGGTCTCTCCTTGGTCTCTCTCTCTGGTCTCTCTCTGGTCTCTCCTTGGTCTCTCTCTCTGGTCTCTCCTTGGTCTCTCTCTCTGGTCTCTCTCTGGTCTCTCTCTCTGGTCTCTCTCTGGTCTCTCTCTGATCTCTCTCTGGTCTCTCTCTCTGGTCTCTCTCTCTGGTCTCTCTCTCTGGTCTCTCTCTCTGGTCTCTCTCTGGTCTCTCTCTGGTCTCTTTCTGGTCTCTCTCTGGTCTCTCATCTCAGTTGTTGTCCTAGTTTCTGATTTCAATCGTCTCCTTGATCCAATGTTTGTATTACTTACTAACACTTATTTATTTACCATTTTATATTGAAACCACATTGAAAAAACTGCCATGGTCCCATTTTTCCGGCGCCATCCAAAACGTACTTGTCATCTATATACAGGCCTATTCCCTCTTTATCTATAGACTGTCATCTAAGTGAGTAAGTCATATTTATTTATATAGCGCCTTTCACAGACCAGAGTCACAAAGAGCTTTACAATTGTTCTGTGCATTAGTCTCTCACTCCACACAGAGATGGAGCGGGGCCAGTACAGGAGGCGCATGCCAGAACTATTGTACATGTTTTTAGTGGTAGGGGAAACCGGGGCACCTGGAGGAAAACTACGCAGACACGGGGAAACTCCACTGAGAAAGGCCCTGTTCCGACCGGGATTCGAACCTAGAACCTTCTATACACAGTCATCTATCTGCAGGCCTATTCCCTATTTAAATAAGCAAATAAATTAAAAAAATAAATCAGAAAATTTCCCTAAAAGCCGCAGACCCTCCGCACCGGGCGCACCACTCTGTGACCTCGGGCTGGAATGCGGCGGCTTCTTCTTCTCCTTTGACTGACGGTTGCTTTTAGCGTCTCCTGCGGGACAGCCGATAGCGGGGGAGATCCTGCGGAGGTTGCGCCGTGGCCCCTGTCCCTTCGCACAACAAAGAGAGTGAGTGATGTTTTTGATGTGGGGCCACCTGGGACGCGGGTCTCCGTCAGCAGCTCACCACCCAGAGAAACAGATCCCATCCCAGGACAAACAGCGTGAGTGACGGGGCGGCTGCGGTCCCACGGAAGTCCCCAAATCACACGCCACTCACAGCAACAAAGGCCTCCTCACACACAGGGCTCGTCGCAATCTCACTTTTAAAAGGCTTTGGGATTGGCTTCGTTAAACTAAGTCACCTTTAAGAAAAACAGAAAGATATAAAATTCTGGGGAGGAGAGAGGGGGAGAAAGGAGAGAGGGGAGTCAGGAGAGAGAGAGGGGAGAGATAGAAGAGACAGGAGAGAGAGGGGTGGGAAAGAGCGAGGGGGTCAGGAGGAGAGAGGGGAGTCAGGAGGAGAGAGGGGAGTTAGGAGGAGGGAGAGGGGAGAGTCAGTAGGAGAGAGAGGGGAGTCAAGAGAGAAAGAGGGGAGTCAAGAGAGAAAGAGGGGAGTCAGGAGAGAGAGAGGGGAGTCAGGAGAGAGAGAGGGGAGTCAGGAGAGAGAGAGGGGAGTCAGGAGAGAGAGAGGGGAGTCAAGAGAGAAAGAGGGGAGTCAGGAGAGAGAGAGGGGAGTCAGGAGAGAGAGAGGGGAGTCAGGAGGAGGGAGAGGGGAGAGAGAGGGAAGTCAGGAGAGAGAGAGGGGGAGAGGTGGTCAAGAGAGAGAGAGGGGAGTCAGGAGAGAGAGAGGGGAGTCAAGAGGAGAGAGAGGGGAGTCAAGAGGAGAGAGAGGGGAGTCAAGAGGAGAGCGAGGGGAGAGAGAGGGGAGAGAGAGGGGAGTCAAGAGGAGAGAGCCCCATCCAGTCAGGAGGATAGAGAGAGGGGAGTCAGGAGGAGGGAGAGGGGGGAGTCAGGAGGAGGGAGAGGGGAGAGAGGGGGGAGTCAGGAGGAGGGAGAGGGGAGAGAGGGGGGAGTCAGGAGAGAGGGGAGAGAGGGGAGTCAGGAGGAGAGCGGTGTAACTTCTTGATGAAGTCAGATGTGATTTTCTTGTTCTCCTCATTCTTCTGTTCTGCAGCTGATGATGCAGCACTAACATTTTCTCATCGAGAATCAACAGTTTTGTAAAGTTCTGTGATAATAAGACTTTAGGGATTTTTAACTTTTATTTCTTTTTTGAAAGTTGGAAACAAACTGTGGCTCCTGACCCGCCCACACAGGACCCCCTCAGGACCAGGGCCCCCTCAGGACCAGGACCCCCTCAGGACCAGGACCCCCTCCAGGTCCATCCAGAGAAGCTCCAGTTGCAGTTGTTAGAGACAGATTTCTCTGAATGGAACCTTCAGAATCATCTTTAAATCACAAATTCTGAGAAAAAAGTCACAAAAAGTAAAACAATAAACTCTCAGAGTCTCTCTGAGGTTTGTGTTTGTCTCAGTCTCCCTCCCTCCCTCTCCCTCCCTTCCTCTCTCCCTCCCTCCCTCCCTCTCCCTCCCTCTCTCCCTCTCCCTCCCTTCCTCTCTCCCTCCCTCTCCCTCTCTCCCTCCCTTCCTCTCTCCCTCCCTCCCTCCCTCCCTCTCCCTCCCTCTCCCTCCCTCTCTCCCTCTCCCTCCCTTCCTCTCTCCCTCCCTCCCTCCCTCTCCCTCCCTCTCTCCCTCTCCCTCCCTTCCTCTCTCCCTCCCTTCCTCCCTCTCCCCCCCTCCAGGACGTGTCACAGCCAGGTGTCCTGAGTCACATTTCTCTCTGACACAGACTTTGATGGATCAGCGACTTGCTTTTTACAGATGGATGGAAGAATGCAGAAGCCACACAACAGGAGTTCAAACAACAACACAACACACAACAACACAACACAAAAGCCTTAAACTCCATCATCAAACTCTGACCAACAACATGTGGGAGACAGAAGCAGCATTTAAGATCTGTGTCTACAGCTTCATCTCCTGAGACCCAGGAGTTTCAGCAGGCTCTCTCTCTTCTGTATCCACTCTCTCTTCAGTCGCCTCTCTCTCTTCTGTCTCCTCTCTCTCTCCTCTGTCTCCTCTCTCTCCTCTGTCTCCTCTCTCTTCTGTCTCCTCTCTCTCTTCTGTCTCTCCTCTCTCTCTCCCCCTCTTCTGTCTTCTCTCTCTCTTCTGTCTCTCCTCTCTCTCTCTCTTCTGTCTCCTCTCTCTCTTCTGTCTCTCCTCTCTCTCTCCCCCTCTTCTGTCTTCTCCCCCTCTTCTGTCTCTCCTCTCTCTCTTCTGTATCCACTCTCTCTCCCCCCCTCTTCTGTCTCTCCTCTCTCTCTTCTGTCTCTCCTCTCTCTCTCCTGTCTCTCCTCTCTCTCTCTTCTGTCTCTCCTCTCTTTTTTTGTCTCATCTATCTCGCTTCTGTCTCCTCTCTCTCCCCCTCTTCTGTCTTCTCTCTCTCTCTCTCTTCTGTCCTCTCTCTCCCCCTCTTCTGTCTTCTCTCTCTTCTGTCTCTCCTCTCTCTCTCCCCCTCTTCTGTCTCTCCTCTCTCTCCCTCTTCTGTCTTCTCTCTCTCTCTCTCTCTTCTGTCTCTCCTCTCTCTCCCCTGTCTCTTCTCTCTCTCTCCCCTCCCTCCACCCTGGAGAAGCGATTGTGAAAAAGGTAGTGGTTAAACAAAGGTCAGTAAATGTGCAGTAGTTTAGTGCTGGAGACGACAGAGAGAGGCTCTGGCACAGGACGAGAACCTGGGACCCCTTTGATGTGAGGCCAGAGGCACAGACAGACACAGACAGACAGACACACAGACAGAGACACAGACAGACAGACATAGACAGACAGACAGACACAGACACACACAGACAGACACACACAGACACACACAGACAGACACACACACAGACAGACATACACACAGACAGACAGACAGACATAGACACACACACAGACAGACAGACAGACATAGACACACACACAGACAGACAGACATAGACACACAGACAGTAGTAGTAGTAATCTTTATTTATATACCGCCTTTTCACTGCAGATCTGAGTCTCAAAGCGGTTTACAATTGTTAATTGTTTTATTTGTTTTTTTTTGGGCATTTGTCTCTCACTCCACACAGAGATGGGAGCGGGGTCGCCAGTACAGGAGGCACATGCCAGAACTATTGGACATATTTTTAGTGGTAGGGGAAACCGGAGTACCTGGAGGAAACCTACGCAGACACGGGGAGAACATGCAAACTCCACTCAGAAAGGCCCTGGTCCGACCGGGATTCGAACCCAGGACCTTCTTGCTGAGAGGCGAGAGTGCTATCCACTCAGCCACCGTGCCGGGCGGCACGGTGGCTGACATCGTGTGTGTGACATAGACACACACACAGACACACACAGACAGACAGACACAGACAGACGGACATAGACAGACAGACAGACACAAACACAGACAGACAGACATAGACAGACAGACAGACACACAGACACAAACACAGACAGACAGACATAGACAGACAGACAGACACACAGACACAAACACAGACAGACAGACATAGACAGACAGACAGACACACAGACACAAACACAGACAGACAGGCATAGACAGACAGACAGACACACAAACACAGACAGACAGGCATAGACAGACAGACAGACACAAACACAGACAGACAGACATAGACAGACAGACAGACACACAGACACAAACACAGACAGACAGGGAGGTGCTTGGACTGGACTCCTCTGATCACACCGGAACTGAACAGAAGCAGACACACAAACTGACAGACAGGAGAGAGGAGGGGAGGAGAGGAGAGAGGAGGGGGGAGAGATTGAGGGAGAGAAGATAGAGGATGGCAGAGAAAAAGAGGAGGGGAGAGAGAGAGGAGAGGATGTGGAGATAGGAGGGGAGAGAGAGGAGAAGAGAGAAAGGAGAGGAGGGGAGAGAGAGGAGAAGAGAGAAAGGAGAGAGGAGGGGAGAGAGGAGAAGAGGATGCAGAGAGAGAGAAGAGAGAAAGGAGAGTAAGGGAAGGGAGAGAGAGACAGGAGAGGGAGGGAGAAGGAGTTGGGGGAGGAGAGAGGAGCAAAACAAGAAATGAAAAAGGAGTTTGACTCACACACCAGACTTTGGACTCGCTCCTCTGTAGCCTCCTCTTTCACCTCCTCCTGACCTCCTCTGTAACCTCCTCTTTCACCTCCTCCTGACCTCCTCTGTAGCCTCCTCCTTCACCTCCACCTGACTTCCTCTGTAGCCTCCTCTCTGACTTCCTCTGTAGCCTCCTCTCTGACATCCTCTGTAGCCTCCTCCTTCACCTCCTCTGTGGCCTCCTCCTGACCTCCTCCTTCACCTCCTCCTGACCTCCTCTGTAGCCTCCTCTTTCACCTCCTCCTGACCTCCTTCACCTCCACCTGACTTCCTCTGTAGCCTCCTCTCTGACTTCCTCTGTAGCCTCCTCTGTAGCCTCCTCTCTGACTTCCTCTGTGGCCTCCTCTGTAGCCTCCTCTCTGACCTCCTCTGTAGCCTCCTCCTTCACCTCCTCCTGACCTCCTTCACCTCCACCTGACTTCCTCTGTAGCCTCCTCCTGACCTCCTTCACCTCCACCTGACTTCCTCTGTAGCCTCCTCTGTGGCCTCCTCTGTAGCCTCCTCTCTGACCTCCTCTGTAACCTCCTCCTTCACCTCCTCCTGACCTCCTCTGTGGCCTCCTCTGTAGCCTCCTCCTTCACCTCCTCCTGACCTTTCACCTCCACCTGACTTCCTCTGTAGCCTCCTCCTTCACCTCCTCTGTGGCCTCCTCTGTAGCCTCCTCCTGACCTCCTCTGTGGCCTCCTCTGTAGCCTCCTCCTGACCTCCTCTGTGGCCTCCTCTGTAGCCTCCTCCTTCACCTCCTCCTTCACCTCCTCTGTAGCCTCCTCCTGACCTCCTCTGTGGCCTCCTCTGTAGCCTCCTCTGTAGCCTCCTCCTTCACTTCCTCTGTAGCCTCCTCCTGACCTCCTCTGTGGCCTCCTCTGTAGCCTCCTCCTGACCTCCTCTGTGGCCTCCTCTGTAGACTCCTCTGTAGCCTCCTCCTTCACCTCCTCTGTAGCCTCCTCTGTAGCCTCCTCCTGACCTCCTCTGTAGCCTCCTCCTTCACCTCCTCTGTAGCCTCCTCCTGACCTCCTCTGTAGCCTCCTCTGTAGCCTCCTCCTTCACCTCCTCTGTAGCCTCCTCCTGACCTCCTCTGTGGCCTCCTCCTGACCTCCTCTGTAGCCTCCTCCTTCACCTCCTCTCTGGCCTCCTCTCTGACCTCGGCTCCTGTGTTCTGCAGATCTGGCGCCCGGCTCTGATTTCCACAGGTCACAAATCTAACACAACAAAATGTTTCCAGATTCTCTTCACATAAACACAGCATTAAAGCTCAGGCCTGTAACTTCTCAGCCTCATAAATGACTCATACATGATACTTTGGTGTTACAAAGTGGCTAGTTCTGTTTTTACATTCACACGTTCACACACAGAGCCCTGGGAGTCACTATTCGACACTTAGGGCTGAGAGCTGACTGGTTGGAAGTGAAAAAAAACCAAGACAAAAGGGATATTTGATGAATTATTTAATAAAATATCACAATACTTTGCTCTGCTGTATCGATTATAGAGCAAAATATCGCGATACTGAACAGAATTGACTTTTTCCAACCCCGTTATTTCGAAGCCTGACTGAAAAAGAACAATTGTAGATATTCTCATTGAAATGTTCATGTTTAATTTCTAAAGTACACAGACCTCGTGATAAAGCAAACACACAAACGTAAAAACAGGGCGGTGTATTGTACACAGACTGGGAAAATAATGTTAGGTACGGTTAGCTAATGTTAGCTACGGTTAGCTAATGTTAGCTACGGTTAGCTAATGTTAGCTACGGTTAGCTAATGTTAGCTACGGTTAGCTAACGCATGCTCGCAAAATTATTTCCCGTCTCTCTCAAAATGGGACAAATAGCGATCGGAGAGGGAGTACAAAAAATACGGCTGAGATGAAAGCGTGTAGCTGAGGCACGGTCGCAGGCACATGTGAGCAGCAGTCTTCACACGGGTCTTCACACGGGTTTTCACACAGGTCTTCACAAGGTTTTTATAATCAGGCAAAGAAAGTAAAAAGGCTAGTTCTGCTTCGTTACCGTAGTTTTGTACGGTAGACTTCCGCCTGGTGTGACATGTCTCTTAGGTGTAGTTACCAGACTGACCACGCCCCCTGGGACTGACCACGCCCCCTCAGACCCCAGTGATTGACATATGATTAGTTAGTGTTAAAGATCTTGGCGAGGGAGGGTCTAAGGACAGTGGTGATGACATTTATGATAATGTATTAATATTTATAAACATTGGTCTCCGCCCCTTATGGACCAACAGCTCGACGTGTTTGTTAGCGTTGCATTTCCTGTGTTTGAACCGTTTGATTCTCTGATCTGCGCTGGCGAATTGACGACTTTGTAAAATCCTCCAGTTGCTGTACCAAAAATAAATGTCATGGAATTGAAAATGAGATTGATTGGCTGTTCTGTTGTAAGAGGCGGGTCCATGTGTTTCTGAAAGTGAGTCCTCAGCCCCAAGTGTGAGACCAGGTGAAGGCCCCCTCGTCTCGGTTGATGGTCCGTGTCCCTCGCCGCCTCCTGATTAACAATCGTTTCTCTTTCAAACTCGGCTCTAACTTGGGACTCGCTTCTCCAGAGACCAAAGCGCGGCAAGGGGCGTGGCCAGTCTGACGTCACACCATCACCTGTCTCCTCTGACGAAGGCGGAAGTCTGCCCCCTACAGGTGGTATCTAAGCAGTACTCGCTTCTTTACAATCTCTGTCTTTATCAGAAAAACCTTGCAAAACCTCAAACATAAAGAAGACTTGGCGAATGTTGTACATTTAGGTCTTCGCAGCGGTCTTTGCAGCGGGACTGGGACTGTTCAGACTGGATTCTACATTCTACTTAAGACACTTATCACATTGATTCTGCCAAAACAAAAGAAAACACAAGCCTAAAAAACAACTGTGTGTCATCATTGGCCTCTATCCATCCGTCACGTTTTGGTCTTTGATGCTCTCTCTACAAGATCAACACATTGAAATAGAAAATATATTTGTGCACATTTAGAAAAAGTATTGTCCATAACTTAACACGGTTATGATCATCACGACGTCGGCGCGGGACACAATTAACTGGAAGCACAAACTACTCCGATTATCAACCTCCACGACGATATGTAGCCACTGTACATAACTCTCTCCAGTGAAAAAGAACGTATTTCTCTTAAATGATACAAAACGTGAACTGAGAAGGTGTTGTGTATAAAAAAGGGGCGGGGCCTGGCGGACGGAGAGGGCTTCCTGCTTCCAGAGTTCGTTCCGTGGGTGGGTTTCATATCCGCACCGGCTCCATGTCTTTGTCCTCCAATAGAAGGATGAATTGGCCGAAGCTCTCCTTCACGGCCTCCATCTGGTCGGAGCTGCTGCCGTTCAGGATCCAGCGTTTGCCTCGGGCCAAAGGTTCCAGCTCCAGGTATTTCTTGATCTGCACAAGACACAAAAGAGAAGAGACGGAAGAGTTTGAAACAGGAAGTGATCACAGGGTTCAGAGAGTGGTGGACGGTAGGAGCGGTACTGTGAGATTCACATGTGAGTCCATTATGGAGTCTAAGGAGGAGAGAGAGATGAGTGTTGGGGGAGAGGAGAGAGAGAGGAGTGTTGGGGGAGAGAGGAGAGAGAGATGAGTGTTGGGGGAGAGGAGAGAGAGATGAGTGTTGGGGGAGAGGAGAGAGAGATGAGTGTCGGGGGAGAGGAGAGAGAGATGAGTGTTGGGGGAGAGGAGAGAGAGATGAGTGTCGGGGGAGAGGAGAGAGAGATGAGTGTTGGGGGAGAGGAGAGAGAGATGAGTGTTGGGGGAGAGGAGAGAGAGATGAGTGTTGGGGAGAGGAGAGAGAGATGAGTGTTGGGGGAGAGGAGAGAGAGATGAGTGTTGGGGAGAGGAGAGAGAGAGGAGTGTTGGGGGAGAGGAGAGAGAGATGAGTGTTGGAGAGGAGAGAGAGAGGAGTGTTGGGGGAGAGGAGAGAGGAGTGTTGGGGGGAGGAGGAGAGAGGAGTGTTGGGGGAGAGGAGAGAGAGATGAGTGTTGGGGGAGAGGAGAGAGAGATGAGTGTTGGGGGAGGGAGAGAGGAGAGAGAGATGAGTGTTGGGGGAGAGGAGAGAGAGGAGTATTGGGGGAGAGGAGAGAGAGGAGTGTTGGGGGAGAGGAGAGAGAGAGGAGTGTTGGGGGAGAGGAGAGAGAGAGGAGTGTTGGGGGAAAGGAGAGAGAGAGGAGTGTTGGGGGAGAGGAGAGAGAGAGGAGTGTTGGAGAGGAGAGAGAGAGGAGTGTTGGGGGAGAGGAGAGAGGAGTGTTGGGGGAGAGGAGAGAGAGAGGAGTGTTGGGGGAGGAGGAGAGAGAGGAGTGTTGGGGAGAGGAGAGAGAGATGAGTGTGGGGGAGAGGAGAGAGAGAGGAGTGTTGGGGGAGGGGAGAGAGAGATGAGTGTTGGGGGAGAGGAGAGAGAGATGAGTGTTGGGGGAGAGGAGTGTTGGGGGAGAGGAGAGAGAGAGGAGTGTTGGGGGAGAGGAGAGAGAGATGAGTGTTGGGGGAGAGGAGAGAGAGATGAGTGTTGGGGGAGAGGAGAGAGAGATGAGTGTTGGGGGAGAGGAGAGAGAGATGAGTGTTGGGGGAAAGGAGAGAGAGAGGAGTGTTGGGGGAGAGGAGAGAGAGAGGAGTGTTGGAGAGGAGAGAGAGAGGAGTGTTGGGGGAGAGGAGAGAGGAGTGTGGGGGAGAGGAGAGAGAGAGGAGTGTTGGGGGAGAGGAGAGAGAGGAGTGTTGGGGGAGAGGAGAGAGAGATGAGTGTTGGGGGAGAGGAGAGAGAGATGAGTGTTGGGGGAGAGGAGAGAGAGATGAGTGTTGGAGAGGAGAGAGAGAGGAGTGTTGTTGGGGGGAGAGGAGAGAGAGATGAGTGTTGGGGGAGGAGGAGAGAGAGAGGATTGTAGGGGGGGAGAGAGAGAGAGAGGAGTGTTGGGGGAGAGGAGTTGGGGAGAGGGGGGAGAGGAGAGAGAGAGGAGTGTTGGGGGAGAGGAGGAGAGAGAGGAGTGTTGGGGGAGAGGAGAGAGAGAGAGGAGTGTTGGGGGGGAGAGGAGAGAGGGTGTTGGGGGAGAGGAGAGAGAGAGATTTTTTTATCGGCCCTCAACCAAAATTAAGAAAGACACCTGATCTAACCTCTTAAATCGGAGTCTTTGAATCATCGTGCTCTAGCTAACCTGACCCGGGAAAAGCACTGTTCCAGCTTCTTCCCCGCAGAGAAAGGTATTGTTCCTTGAGATCAGCGCCATGCTAACTATTTCCTTCCCACGAGTTGTTTATTAGACTGAACTAAGCACAGGTTGTTCTAGCACTTCATTACTTCTAGTATAGCGCTCGATTTTTATAGCATCGCGACAATTGCTTTCCCATGTAGCCGGAACGTGTTTTTGTGCGACTTGTGGTTTTTTTTTTTTTTTTTGCACTGGCTTTCTTCACAGAGAACTAATAGTTTTTGTCATTGGTTCATCATTTTTTTTTTGCCCAAAACACAACAGCAGTTATCTTGGAGGACTTGTCGATTCGCCAACAACAGATCAGATAATCAAACGGTTCAAACAGAATAAAAGTGATGACATAAAACACATAGAGCCGATTGGACCATAAGGGCAGAGAACCAATGTCCAGAAAGGTTTTTTTTTTTGTTCCTTAATTTGAACACCATGTGACACAATTCCAAAGCAAAGTATTTTTAACATCCAGAGCAATGACTAAGAAAATATGAATATAATAAAAGTAAAATAATGTACGAAAACATAAAACAAGATTAAGTGTGTAGGTGTTAATGTATTTTTATGTATTGTATAATAAATGTAGCAGAAATGGTAACAGATCAGTCTGTAGTGTTTGTTGAATGTCGATATTTTATGTTCTCCGCTGTGTCTAATAGTTTCCCTCCAGGTGCTCCGAATTCCACTACCACTAAAAACATTTCTAAAAATCCCCCATCAATACCTTCCCATACTCCACTACTCACCCCACTCTCTCTGGAGACAAGACACCCCTAAAAATGAGACTCAATCTCAGTGTCCCTGGTTTTAATAAATACATAGTTAAATCAATAGATATTTCTGTGGTTTTAGCAAGAAAATCTAAAGAAACGGAATCTCAATATTTTTACTTGTTTACATGTTCTCCCAGTGGTCCTGTGTGGGTTCCCTCAGGAGTTCCGGTTTTCCCCCATCCACTTTAAACATGTGCTGTAGTTCAGGGGTTTGAATGATTGTGTGTGTATGGTGCGAGTGTGGGACTACAGATGGTAATTAGTACAAAGAGAGAAGGGGAGATAAGGAGAGAGGGAGAGAGAGCCGGGAGGGAGAGATAGAGAAGGAGAGAGAGAGGAGAGAGAGATGACAGAGAAAGACAGAGAGAGCGAAGAGGGAGATGAATGAGAGACAGAGCAAAGAAGAAAGAGGAGAGAGAGAGTTAAGGAGAGAGAGGGAGAGAGACAGAGAGAGAGGTAGAGAGAGAGAGACAGAACAGAAAGAGATAAGGAGAGATAGGAAGGGAGAGAGAGAACAGAGACAGAGAGAGAAAGAGACAGAGAAAGAAGGAGAGAGAGAGAGAGATAAAGAGAGAACAGAAGAAAAAGAGAAAGAGAGAAAAGAGGGAGAGAGAGAGATAAGGAGAGAGAAGGAGATAAATTGAGTGAAGGGAGGAGACAGAGAGAGAGAGGTAAGAAAGAGACCAAGAAAGAGAGAGAGTGAGAGACAGAGACAGAAAGATAGAAGGAAGAGAGGGAGGGAGAAAGAAGACAGAGAGAGAGAGGAGAACCGAGAACAGAGACAGAGAGAGAGAAGTGAGAGAGAAAGAGAGACAGAGAGAAAAAGAAAAGAGAGAAAGAGGGAGTTAGGAGAGAGAATGGAGAGAAGTAGAGAGGGAAGACAGAGAGAGAGACAAGAGACAGAGAGACAGAGAGAGAGAGGGAAAGAATGAAGAGAGGGAGGGGGTGACAGAGAGAGAGGGAGAGATAAGACTGAGAGAGAGACAGAAAGATAGAAGGAGAGAGAAGGGAGGGAGAAGAGAGTGAGGGAAAGAGACAGATAAAGATAGACAGAGAGAAAAAGAGAAAGAGAGAAAGAGGGAGAGAGAGAGATGTAGGAGAGAGAGGGAGAGACGGAGAGAGAGACATAGAGACAGAGAGAGAGGGAAAGAATGAGAGAGGAGGGGGAGACAGATAGAGACAGAAAGAAGGGAAAGACAGATTATACATGTTCAGTAAGTTAAGGTTGAATGATTGTGTGTTTGGAGGTGCGAGTGTGGGACTACAGATGGAAATTAAGCCACAAAAAGCTGGTTTATTTGACAGTCACTTCTGTTCATTAATCACACTGCCCCATCCGAATTATAGAAATAATACAAATACAAAACAAACCTATTTGTTGAGGGTGCAAAACCGCATTCCTTTCACCAGTTCTCCCTTTGTTTGACTCTCTCTCTCTCTGGTCTCTCTCTCTCTGGTCTCTCTCTCTCTGGTCTCTCTCTCTCTGGTCTCTCTCTCTCTGGTCTCTCTCTCTTGGTCTCTCTCTCTCTCTCTGGTCTCTCTCTCTCTCTCTCTCTCTCTCTCTCTCTCTCTCTGGTCTCTCTCTCTCTCTCTGTCTCTCTGGTCTCTCTCTCTCTCTCTGGTCTCTCTCTCTCTCTCTGGTTTCTCTCTCTCTCTCTCTGGTTTCTCTCTCCCTCTCTGGTTCTCTCTCTCTCTCTCTCTGGTCTCTCTCTCTCTCTGGTCTCTCTCTCTCTGGTCTCTCTCTCTCTCTCTCTCTCTCTCTCTCTCTCTCTCTCTCTCTGGTCTCTCTCTCTCTCTGGTCTCTCTCTCTCTCTGGTCTCTCTCTCTGGTCTCTCTCTCTCTCTCTCTGGTCCCTCTCTCTCTCTGGTCCCTCTCTCTCTCTGGTCCCTCTCTCTCTCTGGTCTCTCTCTATCTCTGGTCTCTCTCTATCTCTGGTCTCTCTCTATCTCTGGTCTCTCTCTATCTCTGGTCTCTCTCTATCTCTGGTCTCTCTCTCTCTCTGGTCTCTCTCTCTCTCTGGTCTCTCTCTCTCTCTCTGGACTCTCTCTATCTCTCTGGACTCTCTCTATCTCTCTGGACTCTCTCTATCTCTGGTCTCTCCCCTCTCTTGTCTCTCTCTCTGGTCTCTCTCTCTCTGGTCTCTCTCTCTCTCTCTCTCTGGTCTCTCTCTCTGGTCTCTCTCTCTCTCTGGTCTCTCTCTCTCTCTCTGGTCTCTCTCTCTCTCTGGTCTCTCTCTCTCTCTCTCTGGTTCTCTCTCCCTCTCTGGTTTCTCTCTGGTCTCTCTCTCTCTCTCTCTCTCTCTCTCTGGTCTCTCTCTCTGGTCTCTCTCTCTGGTCTCTCTCTCTGGTCTCTCTCTCTGGTCTCTCTCTCTCTCTCTGGTCTCTCTCTCTCTGGTCTCTCTCTCTCTGGACTCTCTCTATCTCTCTGGACTCTCTCTATCTCTGGTCTCCCCCTCTCTTGTCTCTCTCTCTGGTCTCTCTCTCTCTGGTCTCTCTCTCTCTGGTCTCTCTCTCTCTGGTCTCTCTCTCTGGTCTCTCTCTCTCTCTCTCTGGTCTCTCTCTCTCTCTGGTCTCTCTCTCTCTCTCTGGTTTCTCTCTCCCTCTCTGGTTTCTCTCTGGTCTCTCTCTGGTCTCTCTCTCTCTGGTCTCTCTCTCTCTGGTCTCTCTCTCTCTCTGGTCTCTCTCTCTCTCTGGTCTCTCTCTCTCTGGTCTCTCTCTCTCTGGTCTCTCTCTCTCTGGTCTCTCTCTCTCTGGTCTCTCTCTATCTCTGGTCTCTCTCTATCTCTGGTCTCTCTCTCTCTCTCTCTGGTCTCTCTCTCTCTCTCTGGTCTCTCTCTCTCTCTCTCTCTCTCTGGTCTCTCTCTCTCTCTCTCTCTCTGGACTCTATCTCTGGTCTCTCCCCCTCTCTTGTCTCTCTCTCTGGTCTCTCTCTGGTCTCTCTCTCTCTCTCTGGTCTCTCTCTCTCTCTGGTCTCTCTCTCTGGTTTCTCTCTGGTCTCTCTCTGGTCTCTCTCTGGTCTCTCTCTCTCTGGTCTCTCTCTCTCTGGTCTCTCTCTCTCTGGTCTCTCTCTCTGGTCTCTCTCTCTGGTCTCTCTCTCTCTGGTCTCTTTCTCTCTGGTCTCTCTCTCTCTGGTCTCTTTCTCTCTGGTCTCTCTCTCTCTGGTCTCTCTCTCTCTGGTCTCTCTCTCTCTGGTCTCTCTCTCTCTCTGGTCTCTCTCTCTCTCTGGTCTCTCTCTCTCTCTCTCTGGTCTCTCTCTCTCTCTCTCTGGTCTCTCTCTCTCTCTCTGGTCTCTCTCTGGTTTCTCTCTGGTTTCTCTCTGGTCTCTCTCTGGTCTCTCTCTGGTCTCTCTCTGGTCTCTCTCTGGTCTCTCTCTCTGGTCTCTTTCTCTCTGGTCTCTCTCTCTCTGGTCTCTCTCTCTCTGGTCTCTCTCTCTCTGGTCTCTCTGGTCTCTCTGGTCTCTCTGGTCTCTCTGGTCTCTCTGGTCTCTCTGGTCTCTCTGGTCTCTCTCCCTCTCTGGTCTCTCTCCCTCTCTGGTCTCTCTCCCTCTCTGGTCTCTCTCCCTCTCTGGTCTCTCTCCCTCTCTGGTCTCTCTCCCTCTCTGGTCTCTCTCCCTCTCTGGTCTCTCTCCCTCTCTAGTCTCTCTCCCTCTAGTCTAGTCTCTCTGGTCTCTCTCTCCTCTCTGGTCTCTCTCCCTCTCTGGTCTCTCTCCCTCTCTGGTCTCTCTCCCTCTCTGGTCTCTCTCCCTCTCTCGTCTCTCCCTCTCTCGTCTCTCCCTCTCTCGTCTCTCTCCCTCTCTGGTCTCTCTCCCTCTCTGGTCTCTGTCCCTCTCTGGTCTCTCTCCCTCTCTGGTCTCTCTCCCTCTCTGGTCTCTCTCTCTCTGGTCTCTCTCTCTCTGGTCTCTCTCTCTCTGGTCTCTCTCTCTCCCCCTCTCTGGTCTCTCCCTCTCTCTCTGGTCTCTCCCTCTCTCTCTGGTCTCTCCCTCTCTCTCTGGTCTCTCCCTCTCTCTCTGGTCTCTCCCTCTCTCTCTGGTCTCTCCCTCTCTCTCTGGTCTCTCCCTCTCTCTCTGGTCTCTCCCTCTCTCTCTGGTCTCTCCCTCTCTCTGGTCTCTCCCTCTCTCTCTGGTCTCTCTCTCTCTCTCTCTCTCTCTGGTCTCTCTCTCTCTGGTCTCTCTCTCTGGTTTCTCTCTCTCTCTGGTCTCTCTCTGGTCTCTCTCTCTCTGGTCTCTCTCTCTCTCTCTCTGGTCTCTCTCTCTCTCTCTCTGGTCTCTCTCTCTCTCTCTCTGGTCTCTCTCTCTCTGGTCTCTCCCTCTCTCTCTCTGGTCTCTCTCTCTCTCTCTGGTCTCTCTCTCTGGTCTCTCTCTCTCTGGTCTCTTTCTCTCTGATCTCCCTTGCCCCAAAAATAGCCACACACGACCACAACCTATCGCACAAAATGACGAGGACCCGAACCTTGGAGTAGATGAGCTCCACCAGCTCCTGCAGCAGGGCTTCGGTGCTAACGTAGGAGTTGAGCATGTTGGTGATGTATTCCACGTCAGACTCGAACGACCCGGGAGACGAGCTCAGGTGTCCCAGGAAGTCTGTGACCATGTCTGCCAGAGAGGGCTCGGGGTAGTACTCGCCTTCGTCGTAAGAGGGCTCCTGCAGAGAGGCCAGACATGTAATAAGCATAGACTGTATATAGCTGGACAATGCTAACACGCTAGCTCAATGTAGCCCAATAGAGAAGTATCCATGAACACACACCTAACTTATCTGTGCAATAATAGATCAGAATGTGCAATATAGAACCACTGTCACTTGGCCACTTTGATTTTATACTTGCTTCACTTTTATGCTAAAGTTAGAGATTTTGTACTTCTTCATAGACTAAGATAAAGAGACCTTTTATTTGTCCCAGAGCTGCATCACAAGTAACAGAACAGTAGGAATGAGGAGCACACGGCACAAGATAAATGAACAAAAGCTATACCAAATGAAATAAAGCAGAATCTGTAACTCTGGCATCAAAGAACAAGTATAAAATCCCTATCTTGAATATAATAATTAGGGATGTACCGAATCCAGGATTCGGGTTCGGATTCGGCCGAATATTTTTTTTACGGGGTTCGGTTTCTGGCCGAACCTTATAATTTTTCCCCACCGAACCCGAACCCTGCACTTACACTATGCGCGCTGTGGCAGATTCGTTCGGAAGTGTAAATAAACATTTACTTTAGCGGAGGTTTATATCCTCTTGCTCTCTGTTCCTCTTCGGGTGCGCTGAGGTCTCTTCCTGGTCATGTGATCCCTGCGGTCCTATTAGCTCTAGTTATACGCCAGTGCGATGGGATGTTATGATTCTTGTTTTCACCTGTAATGCGGTTCTGATGGATCATAAACTAACTTCCTATTCACCAACTTTATGGAGCCGATTACCAGTGCCAGGTACTTGTCATCTGAGCTGCGTATGACCGTGGAAGCAGAGTTGGTGAGTCCATGTTTAGGCAACTAGCCTCTTAGCATTAGCTTCTCTCAACTTGTCTCTGACGAGTTTGGCAATGTCCATATATGAACCAGTGGAAGCTATTTATGCATGTATGGTGCTTTAGCTCTTATTTTTACATGACATGCACAGTAATATATGTACTTTATCACTAAAGTTTTACACTGCTATGAACTGAATGTATTTGTGTTTAATGATAAACGGGATTATTATAAATGTTATAATAATAGATTCTGGTCAAGCTACATGTCCAATTTGCAATGCCCATTTGTCTCGTGGTGGTAAGGACCCTAAACAGTACACAACACCGCCGCTGTTAAAACATTTGCATATGAAACATCAATGGACTGAGGATGGAATAGGATTCGGTATTCGGGTGAACCCCAAAAACCTGGATTCGGTACATCCCTAATAATAATATTAAAAGAAGTATAACAATTTTACATTTGGCAAAATAAAAGGCAAGTATGAAGTACTGTGTCTTCTAGTGCAAGCAATATGTAGTTATATGTTAGCATCTGTATTATGCTAAAGTTAGATATTTTATAGATTTATTGTCCATTTATCTTGTGCTGTGTGCTCCTCATTCCTACTGTTCTGTTACTGCTGATGCAACACTGAAATTCCCCCGCTTTGGAACGAGTAAAGAATCTCTTAATCTTAACCAAAGTATAGCATAAACTTGCTCTGGCTCACAGTGACTTACATTGAAACGCCTCTCAGTTTAGAGCTCTCTGTGATGCTGTGGTTTTGTTATTTTGCAATCCTCTTTGGTCAATCTTTATGGCTACTATCTGGATTCACAATCAGATGCCTTGATTTACAGCGGAAACTCTGAAAGCGATTAAACCACTGAAGAGCTTTTCCACAGTCAAGACGAAGCATTTATCTGTTTATTTAGCCGAATCGTTTAGACTAGCTGCCTCTAAACATGTTCTCTTTATCTTGACAGTAGCCTCCATTTCTACACTGCCTGGTTACATTTCCATTACGCATTTCACAACAGACCAGTATGAAAACTCCTTGTTAACCATGGCTTCTCACTCTCAGTTAGAGCAGTTTAAAACCAATTCAGTAGAACTGGGTCCAAGCAGGTACCAAAGAAGTTTGTGGTACCAGTTAAAGAGGGCCTGTGGAAATCCTCCCAATAAGTGCAGCGTAAAGTGGGGCCAAGTAGGACTGGTGGAAACGGGGCATTGGAGTATTGGATGAATCCTGTGTGTACCTCAAAATAACCATAATTTCCGACTCAATTAGCAGCTTGTTTGGTGTAAAACCATAATTCATATCTACAGGCAACATCTCACCAAATAATGTTTAAATTAGAAAACCATACAATAAGTACATTGATTAATATCCCTAAATAATGTGACTCGTACCTCATATGAAAAACAGCCAGAGGGGACAAACTCTGGAGCAGTTGCTGAAAGTTTGGACGATTTGGCGACAGAATTCACATCTCCGTATGAGGTCGGGCTGCGGGAATATTGTGGAGTACTATTTGGAAAATTCCAGCCTGAAAGAGAAAAAAAATAATAGAACATTTGTATTTAAATTATCTACTCATTAATGCACAGAGGTTGTTCCAGGAATGGGCCGTGGAGGGGCTCCAATGGTTTACCACCCCAGCCTCTATCCACTTATATCCTTGGGGAGCAGGATAACCAAAGTCCATATATATTAATGAATGTCCTTAATTTCTACACCTCCCTCTGGTGGCAGGAGAGCGAGTTACAGACTGAAGTGATTGTTTATGTTCATACTTTTTTTTTTTACGATACATTTTCCTACCGAAGATATTACTTCACATTCTAAAACATGAAAAGACAAAAGTAAATAATCTCAATTTAAAAATCACAAAAATACTGCGTTATTTGTTGTTATAATTAATATTTGTCAACTGTTTGAGCCACTTACACATTATAATAACCAGCTTTTAGAATTGTATAAACGTAACAGTACATGTTTTAACAGTCTTATTCTGTTTGTACTTGTGTGCATTGCAGCCTGTCACTCTCCATGTAACTGTCATAAATTAGGATTAAATACAATAAATACATTTAGCTCCACCAAATCCACAGGTTGGTTCACTGATTAGTCGATTACTAACGTTGGTTCACAGCAATGTCAACGGTCCATGAGTAGCAATTAATCGATTAACTTCTATTTCTCTGCTTCAGGTGATTCTGTAATGGTTTGAGGCGGTTCTATTCACTTCAAGATGCAATGATGGAGTAGGGAATTATACGTATTTCTGTTTACTTCTGCCAACTGCTCTTGTGCTGTATATATAACCTAAACGTACATTTGTATTTTTCCTTTTTATCAACTGTGTGTATTCCTTTGATCTTAAATATACATTCTGAACTGAAATCAACAACACACACACACACACACACACACACACACACACACACACACACACACACACACACACACACACACACACACACACACACACACACACACACACACACACACACACGTAACAACTCTGTTACAAAAGTCATACGCCACAGGACTAAAGTGAAAGTAGCATTAGCATATTAGCATCGTTAGCTTCGTTAGCCTCGTTAGCTTCCTTCGCACCATAGACTGTCAATATTAGCATCGTTAGCTTCGTTGGTCCATAGAGTAGACTGTAAATATTAGCATCAATAGCTTTGTTCACACCATAGACTGTAAATATTAGCATCGTTAGCTTCTTTAGCCCATAAAGTAGACTGTAAATATTAGCATGGTTAGCTTTGTTAGCCTCGTTAGCATGTCAGTCCCCACCGGAGCAGTTCACCCCATCCCCGCATACCTGAGCCCGCATCCCCGCTGTCTGTGCTCCCGCTGCTGCTGTCTGGGAAGGGCGGGTGGCTCCGGGGCTGTCTGAGTGGTTCCCTTTGGTTAAAAACAGAGCATTTGGATTCTTCTTCCGCAGCAGAGAACCCGTATTCGGCTGGATTTAGGCGGCTTCTCCCTGCGCCCGGAGCTCGGTCAAACGGATCGTTCATGTTGTCTGTCAGCTGCTCACATGAGAGAAAGAGGAGGTGAAATAAGCTACTGTTGCGTCTCCGCGGGTTTGTTTGTCCTGGATCAGATCGCAGTTTATTTCTGTCCCATGTTGTGGTGGACTATTGCAGGCACACTGTGTACACAATTTATCAGACGGGTGCCCGCTTGGCCCAAATGACCTTCGCGTTATTTTAGTTGAACATTATTTGCAAATTAGGAATAACAATTTATCTTTATTCATAGCGTATTTCACAGACCAAGGTCAACCAAAATGATTTATAGTAAAAGAAAATATTTTAGTTTGATTTTTTCTATCAATATATATATATGTATTTATTTATTATTGTTTTGTTTTTCATACTCTAAAATGATCATGACACTCACTAACATCTTTTTGTGTCAAAAAATGCGCTGTATAAGTATACTGCAATAGCCTGGCCTTAGCCATCCGTAAACTCCATTATTATTATTATTATTATTATTATTATTATTATTATTATTATTTCCCTACATGTACGAAATCAAATGAGTACTATGGTATTATTACTATTATTACTGTTATTCATATAATAATAATTATTATCCTAATTACTGTTATTATTACTATTATTTCTTTTATTCATATTATAATGTTTCATCATTATTGTTTTTTCAGACACAAATGGTCCATAGACATAAAGACAAAAAAACCAAACAAACAAAAAAGACAAACTCAGTATTGTTCATTTCATCAATTGAACAATTCATCAATTCTACATTCAGACTTTATGTCAACACCAGAACAAGAACAAGAACAAGAAACCCAGAGGGACATCAAAAGACCAGAGACAAAAGACAAAACTTTGTTATTATATTAAATTATTTATTTCAACCCCATTTATTTGTTTTCTTTTTTGTGGTCAGTTATTGTGTTGTGCTTATACATTACAGGTTATTACAGACATTCAGCATTCCAGCACATTCCATTAACGTAGTACCTCTCTTACCCCTAATCTTCTTACAAATGTGCTTACAGTCGTGAAGTTGTGTGATTATAGTTCTACCATTATTATTACTATCCTGCTTCAAGTAATAGCAATAACAAGCATTGGAGCAAGTGTCTACAGAACTGTCAATATTGTACGTTTGTTTGTTGTTTGTCTATATTTTAGTTTTCTGTTTTTTCTGTTTTATATGGACTTTATGTGTTTGAATTTAAGGTGTAATTTTCAATCAGTCATTTTCATCCCCTTTAGTAGTCCATTTCTGGGTCGATCCTCAAAGCACGGGCCCCTCACTGATCCTCCTGCGGGTGGTGGGGTTAAGTGTCTTGCCCAGGGACACAACGACAGCAGATGTAAATGGGAGCAGGTGGCATGTGTCATGAGGGGATCAAACCCACGCCCATTAGGGAAAAAAAGGATATAATGGAATAATAATGATATAATTAAGTAAAACAACCAACTTGTTTTGCCAAAGAGATCTCGTGATTAAATACAAAGGTCAAGTGAAAAGTCGCATAAAAACTGAACCTGGAAACTGCTTTCCTTCTTCACTGGCTGCAGCTCTGAGAGAACACCGCTCTCGAGTGGCGAGGAGAGGAAGTTCTGGCTGTAAAACTGACATCAGGCTGATTCCAGACAGTGGCAGCTCCAGAGGATTTGAGGGGACAGACTCTGAGGGGGAGATTTTAGGGGAAATGGGCGAACGAGAAGAAATGAAAAGGTGATGCTGGATTAGTGATTTTTTTTTTTTTGCTGGTGCAGTCTCTACCTCAGCGATGTCAAACTCATTTTGGTTGGAATCCGAAAGTATAAAAGTGTTTGAAGCTCATCTTTGCATCTGTGGATATTTTTACATAATGAAGGTAATTTGACCAAAACATTACTTTAATTCAGCGTGAGTTTGGAAACTGTTTCATGGTAGATTTTTCGGAACAAAATGAGTTCAGTTACTGTATGTGAGAGCGGAGGCCTCTCTCATTGTAGGCCCCCTTGGATCCACAGACAAACAGGCTGTAGATCCAGGACTCAGGCTGTAGAACGAGGACTGAGGCTGTGCGGAACTATTGCATTTTTAAAACAAACATGATTTTTTTATTTTTATTAAGAGAGACAGACATTGATTTGTCAAAACATTGCCAGAAGTAGTCGGTCAGTCCTCGTCCTACAGCCTGAGTCCTGGATCTAAGCCTCTCCATCCTCAAGGTTTCTCACTTTTTCCCACAGTGCTGATCTGGACGTTTATGGACATTTATGGACATTTATGGACATTTATGGTTATTTAAGGACATTTATGGACATTTATGGACATTTAAGGACATTTAAGGACATTTATGGACGTTTATGGACAGTGGTCATCTTTTCCCTATGAACCAATGCCATTTTCTGTGTTCTAACTGTTCCATTCTCTAATCTTTTCATAGTTAATTTGTCTTGAATTCTTAAATGTGGTTTGTGCATTGCTGTTCACCTAATGTCCCTCTGTCTGTTTCATGGACGCACTGGTGGGACTCGAACCCCTGACTCCCTGGACCTGAGGAACGGTCCACAGCTGTTGGGAGTTGGCGGTTCTGAAAAGGTGCACTTCGTTGATCCCCGTAGGGCAATTCAATCCTCTGCATTTGACCCATCCTGATGCCGCGTATAGGTTTACATCAGGAGCAGTGGTCGCCGTAGTAACAGCGCCCGGGAACCCATCTCCAGATGTTGATGCTCGGCTTGGTCAGGACTACCAGAGCTGGAGGATTTAACCTAGTGAGCATGTTTTTAGTGGTAGGGGAAACCGGAGCACCAGGAAGAAACCTACGCAGGCACGGGGAGAACATTCAAACTCCACTCAGAAATACCCCTTACCGACCGGGATTCGAACCCAGGACCTTCTTGCTGAGAGGCGAGAGTGCTATCCAGTCAGCCACCTGTGACGCCCCTCGAGACGACCGTTGTTGTGATTTCGGGCGATACAAATAAAATGTATTTAATCTGTTGTTGGTGCATCATTAAAGTCCTCCGAGACGACTGTGATTTAGGGCTATACACTGTTGGAATAGAGCGGCCAGTGGAGAGTCCAGGTTTTTGAATGACTTTAACAATCTTTACTCTCTGTACCTGAAAACGAATCAAAGATTGTGTGTGTTTCGCCTCTTCACCTCAGTCACTGCCCAGCGCTCACATCTGCTGCAGACCTTTCACAGTAACTTGGCCTAGTCATTAGTTGCTTTGGCCTCCAGTCATTTTCCAGTTGTATCGCAAAACCTGGATCACATTATGCCACAGAGAAACTCCAGCCAGAAACGTTGAGACCCACTTTGATAAAAGATTACGCCTCTCATTTTGTGTTATTGCTGTTTTTCCCCCTGTGCCAGCGTCTTGGAGAAAGTTCAAGCATTCACCAAGTCTGGAATGAGCTGGATGTGGAATGCCAAACAGCCTTGTTGTTCGTAGGAGGTCTGTTTACATTCTTTCCACCGGCGCTAAAAATGGAGATTATTATTGCGGGGTCCAAATTAGGCTTTTTTAAGTGTAAAACCTCAAGCATCTTGTGAGTGTGCTGTCAATCATATATTTGACTCAGAAATAAGTCTTAAGGAGGATGATCTTATCTCCAGTGGATCACAGTCATGAAAATATTACTAATATACAGTAATTGACAGATTTATTGGATAAGTTTTGTTTCAAATATGACACCAGTTTCCTCATCCCCCATCCAGGAGTTGAAAATTAGCATTAGCGAAACACTCTGTATGTGTCGCATCAGATGAATCTTTCCTAATGTAATAACTATGTTTGTCTACACTGTCCCTGTCAAATAAAATAAAATACAAATTATAAAAATGTTTTCCTCAACCATTTTTGTGGATCAGTTTTTGAGTCTCTAAACACTGTCTACTTGAAACATGGAACTGAAATCTACCTTTTTGGGGCATCTCACTGGATTTTGGGCACTTTTACCATCAAACTGCATCTCAATCATTTGGTAAAGGCCTATAATAATAATACTGATAATTAAAAAAAAACTGGGGGTTAAAAAAAACGTTTAAAAATGTGTGTGTGTTTAGTGCTCCTCCACTTTTTGCATCTGTAAAATCCCATTTGGAAAGACTTCATTTGGACAATCTGCCTTCTCAGAACAGAGCAACCTGACCTCAATCCACACTTTAAAAAACTCTGTAAAGAAGTGGTTCGTGGACAATCAGAAACGTGAACACATGGTCTAGAGTCCCCACCTCTCATACCCTGCTGTGTGGAAAATTGTGGTGTTTTGTTTAGTGTATCTGAGCTAATTTATCTATTTTACACATTTTACCACATGTTGCATCGCCTGTGTTGTTATGTCTTTGTGATGGTGTATGTCTGTGTGTTTGTATGTGTGTAGTTTATCAACCTGCCATGGGATGAAAATAAGCCTACATGGCAAACTCTGGCACATTTACACGTTGAAAAACACATGTTGATTAATGTGCACTGTCCCAATTCAAATGAAGATAGAAAAAAAAAAACGTCGAAAATCCAAAAAATGACATTGCTGTCTTCAAGGAGAGAAAGCAGAGGGTTAAAGAGGGAGCCGAAATGTTGAATTAAAGATAAACTGGGTCATGGCTCAGTGGTGGAAGACAAATGCACGTTTATTAAAATTTATGGACAGTGGTCATCCAGCTTCTTACGGACCAATGGCCAGAAATTACAAGTGTGTCCTCGTTCTACAGCCTGAGTCCTGGATCTACAGCCTGAGTTCTGGATCTACAGCCTGAGTCCTGGATCTACAGCCTGAGTCCTGGATCTACAGCCTGAGTCCTGGAGCTACAGCCTGAGTCCTGGATCTACAGCCTGAGTCCTGGAGCTACAGCCTGAGTCCTGGATCTACAGCCTGAGTCCTGGATCTACAGCCTGAGTCCTGGATCTACAGCCTGAGTCCTGGATCTACAGCCTGAGTCCTGGATCTACAGCCTGAGTCCTGGATCTACAGCCTGAGTCCTGGATCTACAGCCTCAGTCCTGGATCTACAGCCTGAGTCCTGGATCTACAGCCTGAGTCCTGGATCTACAGCCTGAGTCCTAAATCTACAGCCTGAGTCCTGGATCTACAGCCTGAGTCCTGGATCTACAGCCTGAGTCCTGAATCTACAGCCTGAATCCTGGATCTACAGCCTCAGTCCTGGATCTACGGCCTGAGTCCTGGATCTACAGCCTGAGTCCTGGATCTACGGCCTGAGTCCTGGATCTACAGCCTGAGTCCTGGATCTACAGCCTGAGTCCTGGATCTACAGCCTGGGAGTGGATCGCTCTCTAAATAGGGGGTCTCCCTGAGGTTTCTCACTCTTTCCCACTGGGTTTTGTTGTTGTTGGTTCTTGCCGATGCAGGATGGACAGAGATGATCCAGGACATTGAAGGACATTTATCAACATTTATGGACAGTGGTCATCCCGCTTCCTATGGACCTATGGCTCCTATGTGTCCTCCTTGTTCTCCTGGGCTCACGATCATATGCACCAGTAAAATAAGTACCATTTAGTATTAGGAGATAAAAAAAACACCTCAGATATTGTCTTTAAAGTTGGCGCAATATTGTTCTATGTTTCAACAAATCAAAAAAGACTTATACATTTTCTTTCGTAAGTCTTCTCCCTGTCGGCCCCTGTACTTTTCCCACTGGGTTTAGACTTGTTCCTCGCAGATGCAGAAGGGTCTTAGAGTCTTGTGATGATCCAGGACGCTCAACATTCAACAACATTTATGAACATTTATCAACATTTAAACAGACTTCAACTTTATCTGGTTTGTCCTGGTATATTGTATACGAACAGATGTGTAGCATCCTATTATCTCTGTATTTTCTACTGTAAATGTGTACATTTTCACAGATATGTATATTCCTGAGTACCTATGTCCACACAATATTATCTTACTATTATTCTTATTTTCAAATTGTTACTTTATTGTTATTTTTTATTATGAAATACTATGTAAGCTACTGTGACAATGCAATGTCCCCTGTGGATCAATAAAGTCTCTCTAAGTCTAAGTTTATGTCATTTATGGACATTGGTCATCTGCCTCCTTTGGACCATTATCTGTGTTTTTTCTGTTTTATTTCTTGTGTTTGAACTTTTTGATTCTCTGATCTGTGTCGGTGAATTTAACGGTCGTGTAAAGTTCTTTGAGAAAACTTCTGTTGTGATTTAGGGCGATAGAAGAATACATTGAACTGAACTTGTCCCTCCATAGTTTACAGGCCTTACAGAGAGATGCTGAGATAGGACCGTGAGGAGGGGGTGCAGACGAGGGTGCAGACGAGGGGAGGAGGAGGGGGGGGGGATGAGGGGGTGCAGACGAAGGGAGGAGGGGGGGGGGGTGGGGGTGGGATGAGGGGGTACAGACGAAGGGAGGGGAGTGAGGGGGGTGAGGGGGGGAGGAGGACGAGCTCCGGAAGCCTGTGGTGTAAATGCTTAGCCCACACTCTTTTGATCTGCCATCGGGGGCAGCTGCCGTTGATTAGTGCGTTTGTGGATGAATATAATGGAGGAAGTGGGTGGTCACACACGGGTCACATCCCCATCAGACCCAACGTGAGACCGGTCCTGGGTTTGGAACCGTCTGATATGAACCTGATCTGTCATCCATAGCTCACTGGTACAGTATCAGACAAAAGAATAAGATGTACTTACTTTAAGGTTTGTGACAAGTCTCTCCAGCTGTTCGTTCATATGTGCCAACTCGGACTCTGAAGAGCACAGGGACTGGCCTCCTGCCGGGACTCTGAGGAGCACAGGGACTGGCCTCCTGCTGGGACTCTGAGGAGCACAGCGACTGGCCTCCTGCTGGGACTCTGAGGAGCACAGGGACTGGCCTCCTGCTGGGACAATGAGGAGCACAGGGACTGGCCTCCTGCTGGGACTCTGAGGAACACAGGGACTGGCCTCGTGCTGGGACTCAGAGGAGCACAGGGACTGGCCTCCTGCTGGGACTCTGAGGAACACAGGGACTGGCCTCGTGCTGGGAGGGGGAATCTTGAAGAAGACTTATTTGCCTTTTTGGATGGATAAATACACATTTAAAACCACAATATGTTTTAGAACATTTGACACTTATTATATTTGTTGTATCCTCCACAAGTGATACACGACAAAACAGAGAAAATCTAGATATGTGGACCAAGTATAGTTACTTCAATAGCCAGATCTGTCTGACTTTTGTGGCTTCCAGAAATCCTGAAAAACTGCAGCCAAATTGTGATTTCTAAATGTTCTTGCTGCTTCTTCTGTCATCTTTTGTCTTCATGATAATTAGTTCCTTTTTAACTTTTTTATTATTATTATTATGTTCGAGACAGATATTTTATAAATGTTTCTTTTGTTCTTTTATTTTATTTATTTTATCTCGTGCTGTGTGCTCCTCATTACTACTGTTCTATAACTTGTGAGGCAACACTGACATTTCCCCGCTGTGGGACGAATAAAAGATTTCTTAATCACTTAATCTTAATCTTAGAACACAAACATCACTTTTAAAATCATGAATCAAGCTCGTGTGTGGTCGAGGGATAGACCGCAGGCACTGGACACAAACAAACACATCTAAACATAATATTTGTCTATAATCTTTAATCATGTATAACAATTAAAAATGCTGGATTGGTATTGGTCAGTACACAGAAAAAACCTTGTTGTGTGTCCCGGATCCTGATGTTGGAGGTTTTAGTCACACAGAAGTCGTGGTCGGCAAACGGATAAATATATGTGACATCACACTGGACCTGGATCAGTTATTTTTGCTCGATGAAAATACTGTAAATACCAATTTTTCCGCTTTGTGGAGTTACACAGAGCGTTTCTGAGTCACGCTGCTGAGTGGGTGCTCTCTGGTTGTGGGTTCGATCCTGTGTCAGCCTGGCGTCTCTGTGTGGAGCCGATTTATTCAGGATGCCTGAGTGGGTTTCCTCCAGCTGCTCCGGTCCCTCCCACTACCCAAGACCACCACCACCAAGAGCATCAGCATCTGCAATCTCGGAGCCCAATATGATTTTTCTTCAACCGATAACTAATATTGTCAGTAGCTATATGTGTGACCAACCTTTTAGTTAAAACAGTGAAAAAAATCCGCACAGCTATGTAGCTCCCAATAAGTGTATTTTATTTACACACCAATGATTGGGAGCTACATAGCTGTGCGGATTTTTTTCACTGTTTTTACGTCTTACATTTTTTAAATCCAGCACGCTAGCTCAAACTACAGGGATGTGCGGCCTTATTTGAAACTTTCAATATTTTAGTTAAAACACAAAAATTGTTAAGCTCTTTGTGACTCTTGTCCATGAGCGTTATAGCAAAAAAAACGTCACATTGACTACTGTGGGCGTTCTAGTGTTAAATAAACAAACAAGACCTGAGAGAGACCAGAGATAGAGACCAGAAAGAGATCAGAGAGGGATCAGAGAGGGATCAGAGAGAGATCAGAGAGAGATCAGAGAGAGACCAGAGAGAGACCAGAGAGAGACCAGAGAGAGACCAGAGATAGAGACCAGAGAGAGACCAGAAAGAGATCAGAGGGAGACCAGAGAGAGACCAAAGATAGAGACCAGAAAGAGATCAGAGATAGAAAAGAGAGGGATCAGAGAGAGACCAGAAAGAGATCAGAGAGAGACCAGAAAGAGATCAGAAGGAGACCAGAGAGAGACCAGAGAGAGACCAAAGATAGAGACCAGAAAGAGATCAGAGATAGACCAGAGAGGGATCAGAGAGAGACACCAGAAGGAGAGCAGAGAGAGAGAGAGAGACCAGAGGGAGACCAGAGAGAGAGCACTGATGCTTGAGGGAGCATTGACAGTAACCCATATTGATGAGTCTCACAGTATCTGCAAACACAATCCAATTAACCTCCTGTGTACATTCCTCTCCGGCTTCCTGTGTGTTTGTGGAAAAGTCTGGTGCGGTGTCTGTGCGCAGTGAGAGAGCAGCCGGGCTGGGGAAGTCACACAGCTTTGCGAATTTTATTTTCTCTTAAAGTTCCTATAAAAAAAAGTACAGAAGGCATAGAGTAGCTTGTGGGGGGAAACCCTTCAGTTAAATAGCTCTACAAATAAATAACAACAATAGCATTAAAACACATAGGGATGCTGTTGTTTAAGCCACAACAGTCTCAGAGAAAAACAAAAAATAAAAATGCCGTTATAAATTACCAGCCAGGGCACTGCACAGTCCAGTTCAGTCCAGTTTGGCTCCAAAGAACTATAAATATTGCGCCAAGGTTACAAGATCTTCTAACGATATATTCTGTTCATACAGTAGTGCTTTGCCCCCTTTCGTCCGCGTTCATCGTCGTTCCCGTCGTTCAGTGCTGAGTATAGGGCTGGTGGAAATGGGGCTATTGTTTTAACGAGTTTCCTGTTAAAGGTGATGTCTGCGTCGGAAATAATGCATAATAAATATGTTTTAAGCAGCCCCTAGCCAAGGTTAATCACTTTTCCCCCGAAATGTATCAACATTTATGGACATTTTTATCATTGAATTTCCTGTGTTTGAACTGTTTGATATTATATAAAAACATAAGATAAACTTTATTGTCCCCAAGTCTTTATAAAGTCTTCTGAGATAACTACTGTTGTGATTTAGGGATATACAAAAATGAACTGAATTGAATAAGCATCACCTGTAAGATTTAAACCAATGGGGAGGGGCCTCAGCTGTACATCTATCCAGGTTATGAATTATTGGGTCCAATCAGGACACTGTGGGGGCGGGACTAACTGCCACTTGCATTCAAGAAACGTCTCTCTATCTTTCCAATTTGACCTTCATTTTACCAACGCAACTGTCTCACAGGGAGGAAAAAACATATAAATTACCAGCCAGGGCACTACACATTCCATTTCAGTCCAGTTTGGCCCCATATAACTATAAATATTGCTCCGAGAGTAGACAATATTCCCTTCATCCAGCCGTGCTTTGCCCCCTTTCGTCCGCGTTCATTGGCGTTCCCATCGTCCAGTGCTGTGTTTTCTGCGTAGAATATAGGTCCAAGTCAGGGTGGTGGAAATGGGGCTATTGTTTTGCAAGTTTCCGGTTAAAGGTGATGTCTGCGACTTCGATATTCAAAATAATAGATAATAAATATACTTTAAATAGACCCTCCCCAAGGTTTTTTACTCTTTTCTCGTCGCTGGTTTTTTTGCTGTTGTTCTTTGCCGATACGGGAGTCTAAGGACAGTGGTGATGATCCAATATTCAATGTCTGCCCCTTATGGAACAATGGCTCTAACTGTTTTTATCATGTATAATTTTGGGCTACACTAAAATAAGTTGAATTAAATTGAATTTGAATAAGCGTCACCAGTAAATTTAGCTGGAGGAGAAGAGTTGAACCAATGGGTAGGGCCCTCAGCTGTCTATCTATCCAGGATTTGAATTCTTGGGTCCAATCAGGAAGCTGTGGGGGCGGGGCTAACTGTGGGGGAACTGCACAGTCCATTTCAGTCCAGTTTGGCCCCAAAGAACTATAAATATTGCGCCAAGGTTACGAGATCCTCTAACAGTAGACGATATATCCTTTGCATACAGTAGTGCTTTGCCCCCTTTCGTCCGCGTTCAACGTCACTCCCATCGTCCAGTGCTGCGTTTTCTGCCTCGTTCACACCAGGATCGGGAGGAAGTGGGTGGCCGTGTTCTTCCTGCGGCTTTTCTTTCCTCGGAGCGGCTTCCCGTGAACGTTCAGACCCACGAACATCTGCCGTTTCCGGTTCCTCCACTCCGAAGAGGCGTAGGTGTTGTAGCCGTTCTCCTCGATGCGCTCCTTCAGGGTGCAGTCCACGTTGAAGTCTCTCTGGAAGAAAAGTTGGAGTTTTTGTGAGAGGAGTGAGAGAGGAACCAGGCTCAAATGAGAGAAACCGAAGAGAGAGACCAGAGCAAGGGACCGAAGAGAGAGACCAAAGAGAGAGCAGAGCGAGACCAGAGAGGGGCCAAAGAGAGGGACCAGAGAGAGGGACCAGAAAAGGAGACTTGCGAGAGAGACCGAAGAGAGAGACCAGAGAGGGAGACTTGCGAGAGAGACTTAAGAGAGAGACCAGAGGGAGACCAGAGATGGACCTGAGTGAGGGACCAAAGAGAGATCAGAGAGACCAGAGAGAGATCGAAGAGAGAGACCAGAGAGAGAGCAGAGAGAGAGGGACCAAAGAGAGACCAGAGAGAGGGAACAGAGAAGGGGACCAGAGAAGGAGGCTAGAAAGCGAGACCGTAACGAGAGAGACCAGAGAGAGACCAGAGAAGGAGACTAGAGAGGGCGACCGAAAAGAGAGAGCAGAGGGAGAGCAGAGAGAGAGACCAGAGAGAGACCAGAGAGGGAGACCAGAGAGAGGGACCAGAGAGAGACCAGAGATAGACCAGAGAGAGACCAGAGAAGGAGACTAGAGAGGGCGACCGAAAAGTGAGATCAGAGGGAGAGCAGAGAGAGAGACCAGAGAGAGGGACCAGAGAGAGACCAGAGATAGACCAGAGAGAGACCAGAGAAGGAGACTAGAGAGGGCGACCGAAAGGTGAGAGCAGAGGGAGAGCAGAGAGAGGGACCAGAGAGAGCAGAGAGAGAGGGACGAAAGAGAGACCAGAGAGAGGGACCAGAGAGAGAGACCAGAGAAGGAGACCAGAGAGAGCAACCGAAAAGAGAGACAAGAGAGTGAGCAGAGAGAGGGACCAGAGAGAGAGACCAGAGAAGGAGAGTAGAGAGAAAGACCGAAACGAGAGAGACCAGAGGGAGAGCAGAGACAGACCAGTGTCCAGAAAGACCCGCGAGAGACCAGTTTCTAAAGGATTTGAATCGTCTTGAATATGATTTTGACTCGCTCAGAAGTTTTTAGAGGAGTTTAACTTTTTTTGGCCTACATGAGCAAATACATAATTAACCTCGTTTTGACCAGCCCTACTTGGCCCTACTCTACTCGGCTCCTCTCCACCTGGTTGCGTTTCCATTAGCTTGAGTATCCCTATCAACATTTATGGACAAATGTGTTTTATATCATTGCATTTCCTGTGTTTGGACGCTTTGATTCTCTGATCTGTGTTGACACAATCGACTTCCGAGATAATTGCTGTTGTGATCTATGGCTACACAACATTTTATTGAATTTAGTTTTTCACCTCCGTACAACCTCTGGTGGAAGTAAACATGTGCCGGCTGTTTGTTTTCGTGTTCCTTTGACTGTAATCATGATTTTAAATGTAGGTATTTCAGCAGAGAACGGTCCATATGGTTTAACTTTGGATTTCCCAGGACTCACAGGTGATTTTCCGTCACTGTTGCACAATTTCTAAGTGCTCTTCATGAAACAAGACCAAACCAGAAAACTCACATTAGATGCACCTCGTATATTTCTGTAAGACTTTGACGCTTCTTAAGGCTTTTAGTTTTGTAAGTGTGATAACTGTTAGTTTTTGTGGTTTTTCTGTTTCTATATGTTGTTTATTTCTGTGTCATTTTTTTGTATTTTATCCAATTATGTCTTATTTTAGAAAATTCAAATACTGCAGTTTTTGGTTGCTCGAAAACCAACTTTTTATCCCAGTTAAATTAACACAATGGCGTTAGCATTTTTGGTTTTTAGCATTAGCCTTTCAACAACTATTTTTGCTTATTTAAAACGGCTATATTCATCCACATATTAGAAGTTGGTGAAAAATTACTTGCTTTTAATAAAATTGGTGAACACTTTTTGGGGCAATATCTCTCAACCTTTAGTTTTAGTAGGAGCAGTCAAAATGGCGGCTATGGGAGTAGTTTCATAATAGTGGGAGTCCTAGTGTTAACAGAAGGATCTTGGAGTGACGTCGTTGTTTATAGTTTTTCCGCGCCGGTCACATGACCATTTGGCAAAACAGCATAGAAAGCTACCTGGATGCTTGAGAGTTAGCTAGTTTTAAGCGTTTGGAGAGAGGTTTTACTAAATCAAATGGTCCATTCTTGTTGTGCGGTCGGTTGTACGGCCCACAGGGGCCAGATGAAGTTTTTTCTAATTCTCTCGGAAAAGAACAGCGAAAAAGGGCCTCAGTAAAGTGGTCCGCACATTAAAAGCGGTTTGCGCTTTTATGCTGTTACCTACGGTAAACGTAGACCGGGAAGCCGGGAGAATGAGGGGATAAAAATTCATAAACAAATTTAAGTTTTGTAACTACTTTCACTGCATTTTTGTTCACTGTGATGATGAATTTTAAAAATCGTATTTTGGTTGCTTTTCCCCCACGACTTTCTTTTCCACATTTACCGTAAGTAACAGCATTAAGGGGCAACCCGCTTTTAATGTGCGAACCACTTTACGGCGACGGCAAAAAGCCAGGCCACTTAACCGCAGTGAAAAATGTGAGAAATGGTTTTTGGGTGAAGAGTCCCGGGTTTTCTATGAAGTAAGAATAAATGTCTCCCAGCAGATCTGTGCCAAGACAGAGGCGAGTCAAGATAAAAATCTACAAACATTTCTAAAACAATAAAAATCTTCATTGGTTTGAACTAGGAGCAGTCAAAATGGCAGCTTTGCAAGTTCTAGCAGTTTCATAATTGTTTGAGTCCTAGTGTTATTAGCAGAAATCCATTCAAAAACATGTTTGCAATGGTCCAAAATCTTCACCAGGGACTTAAGCGACAAAACTGTTTACAAGTGTGAGGCATTAAGATACACACAGCCATTCAAAGTCTCGGAGATTTGCAGATGGAAACTATCAAACGGTTTAATTTCGATGTCGTTCTGTCTTCCAGCTTCAGGATTTACGGCGTGCTCTGTCTACCGTGGGCCTGGGTGCTTTGAGCGGCTGGATTCGGGCTGTATTTCAGGCAGAGGAGCGGAGATAAGCGGAGCCTTTGATAAAGACTGGAAGAATCTGCATCTATCTCCGGCTCCCAGAGATTATGGCCTGACCCCTGACCAGAATACTCACCGCTCCGTACACTTCTCCTTTCCTGTTCAGAGCCAGATAGTAATTGCTGTGCAGGCCTCGGATCGCCACCACCCCCACGTCCACAGATGTGATCTCCAGGATGCCTGAGAAACAGAAGCGTTTGGTCATTATCGACTTTTGAATGGGGTTTTTTTTTTTTACAATGATGTCTCTCTGGAAAAAATGAAGAAGTTTGAGTGAGAGAGGAGTGAGAGAGGAACCAGGATCAAAAACAGAGAGGAAAGAGAGACCAGAGAGAGGGACTAGACAGAGAGACCGAAAAGAGAGACCAACGAGAGACCAGAGAGAGGGACCGGAGAGAGAGACTAGAGAAGGAGACTAGCGAGAGTGACCGAAGAGAGAGAGCAGAGAGAGACCAGAGAAAGGGACTAGAGAGAGACCGAAAAGAGAGACCAACGAGAGAGCAGAGAGAGACCAGAAAGAGGGACCGGAGAGAGAGACTAGGGGGAGAGACCGAAAAGAGAGAACAGCGAGAGAGCAGAGAGGAAGACTAGCGAGAGAGACCAGCGAGAGAGCAGAGGGAGACTAGCGAGAGAGCCTGAAGAGAGGGACCAGAGGGAGAGTAGAGAGGGTCCAGAGAGAGGGACCAGAGAGAGGGACTAGAGAAGGAGACTAGCGAGAGAGACTAGCGAGAGAGCAGAGGGAGACTAGCGAGAGAGCCTGAAGAGAGGGACCAGAGGGAGAGTAGAGAGGGTCCAGAGAGAGGGACCAGAGAGAGGGACTAGAGAAGGAGACTAGCGAGAGAGACCGAAGAGAGGGACCAGAGGGAGAGCAGAGACGGACCAGAGTGAGGGACCAGAGAGAAACCAGAGGAGACAAGACAGAGAGACCAGAGAAGGGGAGAACTTTGGGGAGAATCTCAAATTCAAAGTCGCTTCACTGCAAGAAATGATAAATAAATATCAGGTAATACAAGCTTGAATCCTAATTTGAGTACATTCTTAAAACAATATTTGCCAACGGGACAAAGTCATTTAATCTTATTTGACGAACTGTTGCTTTATTTTTCTCTGTCCAAGGGAGATACAGTATGTCTTGTATCTTTTTAAGACAAGATCATTTTGCTTTGTCCCACTGGAGAATCTTGTTTTAAGACACAGTCCGAATGTGCTCAGATAAATGTTTGACTTCTTATTCATCACTTTTGCAGTAGTGAGAGACTGAGTTTCCCAATATTTGTATATAATACATAAACGAATAACCCACAAATAACATAAACATTTCACTTTCACCTTCGCACACACGTACATTCACTCTCAGACACGTAGAGAAAACTTGAGGCTGAGCGCAGATGTAGCCAGGTGAGGAAGCATCATCTGAGGAGCTGTCTGCACCAGAAGCAGAGAGCCACCTGCAGCCACAGGGGACGACACAGGACCCAGAGGAGAGAGGAAGCCGAGGCCCCACAGAGAGGACCACAGAGAGGACCACAGAGAGGACCACTGAGAGCACCGCAGAGAGGACCACTGAGAGGACCACAGAGAGGACCACAGAGAGGACCGCAGAGAGGACCACTGAGAGGACCACAGAGAGGACCACTGAGAGGACCACTGAGAGGACTGCAGAGAGGACCACAGAGAGGACCACAGAGAGGACCACTGAGAGAACCACAGAGAGGACCACAGAGAGGACCACTGAGAGGACCACTGAGAGGACCACAGAGAGGACCACAGAGAGGACCACAGAGAGGACCGCAGAGAGGACCACAGAGAGGACCACAGAGAGGACCACTGAGAGAACCACTGAGAGGACCACAGAGAGGACCACTGAGAGGACCACAGAGAGGACCACAGAGAGGACCACAGAGAGGACCACTGAGAGGACCACTGAGAGGACCACAGAGAGGACCACTGAGAGGACCACAGAGAGGACCACTGAGAGGACCACTGAGAGGACCACTGAGAGGACCACTGAGAGGACCGAGGGAGAGGAAGGTTCCTGTAAAAGTTCCACCCCGCTCCTTTACAGGAACTTTGCTCCATAGTAAGGACCGGAGCTGGATTTTACCTAATGGACATGTTTTTAGTGGTAGGGGAAACCGGAGCACCTGGAGGAACACAGGAACTGTGTACACAGAGAGACACAGGTGAGGAACATTGGGGCGAGGCAACACTAGGAAACTAGTCAAAAATAATCAACCAAAAATCCATACCACGACTGGGAATCTGATCTGGAAATAAATATTGAAATTTCAGTCAGCTGCTAAACTCAAAGAACTCCCAAAAAATCTGTCATTATTGCTCACTGCAAAAAGTGATGAAAAATAAGTCAAAAAATTTCTCAAATTTGGTAAAATGTATCTTAATTTGATCACATTCTGACTGAGCCTTAAAACAAGATTCTCCAACGAGACAAAGCAAAATGATCTTGTTTTAAAAAGATACAAGAAATGTCTCCCTTGGAATGAGAAAATACGTAAAGCAACGGTTCTTGAAATAAGATTAAATGGCTTTGTCCCACTGCAGTCACAATGAACTATTTCCTCATACTTGATCATTTTTTGCAGTGTTCCGTCACAAACACATCTCAACACGAGACACAAATGTGAAATAGCCTCCACTGTTGATAACCAGCTCAAATCTGGGCTAATTCAATGTGTGTGTGTGTGTGTGTGTGTGTGCGTGTGTGTGTGCGTGTGCGTGTGTGTGTGTTTGTATGTATGCGTGTGTGTGTGTGTGTTTGTGTGTCTGCGTGTGTGTGTGTGTCTGTGTGTGTGTATCTGTGTGTGTGTGTGTGCGTGTGTGTGTGTGTGTCTGTGTGTGTGTATCTGTGTGTGTGTATGTATGTGTGTGTGCGTGTGTGTGTGTGGGTGTGCTTGCGTGTGTGTCTGTGTGTGTGCGTGTGTGTCTGTGTTTGTGTGTGTGTCTGTGTTTGTGTGTGTGTGTTTGTGTGTGTGTGTGTGTCTGTGTTTGTGTGTGTTCTATAATCACATTTTATTTCAAAGTTCTGTTTACAGAAGATGTTGTGAGGGGAAAATATTTTTCCCAAGAAATGACTTTCTTCAGCTTTAATTTTAGACAAACTTGTCTTTCTCTGAATCCATTCTTCTTTCTCATGATTGAATTTATACAGAACTTTTACATTTGGATAATTTCCCCAATTTTCACATTGTGGAAACTTTGAAGTTTGATTACTCAGATGGACCAAAGTGACACAAGAATTCAGGCCGGAAACTAGAGAGAGACCAGAGAGAGAGACTAGAGAGAGACCAGAGAGAGAGACCAGAGAGAGACCAGAGAGAGACTAGAGAGAGACCAGAGAGAGGGACTAGAGAGAGAGACCAGAGAGAGACTAGAGAGAGAGACTAGAGAGAGAGACCAGAGAGAGGGACTAGAGAGAGAGACCAGAGAGAGAGACTAGAGAGAGGGACTAGAGAGAGAGAGAGACTAGAGAGAGAGACCAGAGAGAGACCAGAGAGAGAGACTAGAGAGAGAGACCAGAGAGAGAGACTAGAGAGAGAGACCAGAGAGAGACCAGAGAGAGAGACCAGAGAGAGGGACTAGAGAGAGACCAGAGAGAGAGACCAGAGAGAGGGACTAGAGAGAGACCAGAGAGAGACCAGAGAGAGGGACTAGAGAGAGAGACCAGAGAGAGAGACTAGAGAGAGAGACCAGAGAGAGAGACCAGAGAGAGGGACTAGAGAGCGAGACCAGAGAGAGAGACTAATTTTAGACAAACTTGTCTTTCTCTGAATCCATTCTTCTTTCTCATGATTGAATTTATACAGAACTTTTACATTTGGATAATTTCCCCAATTTTCACATTGTGGAAACTTTGAAGTTTGATTACTCAGATGGACCAAAGTGACACAAGAATTCAGGCCGGAAACTAGAGAGAGACCAGAGAGAGAGACTAGAGAGAGACCAGAGAGAGAGACCAGAGAGAGACCAGAGAGAGACCAGAGAGAGACTAGAGAGAGACCAGAGAGAGACCAGAGAGAGAGACTAGAGAGAGAGACCAGAGAGAGACCAGAGAGAGAGACTAGAGAGAGAGACCAGAGAGAGAGACTAGAGAGAGAGACGAGAGAGAGAGGCTAGAGAGAGAGAGACTAGAGAGAGAGACCAGAGAGAGACCAGAGAGAGAGACTAGAGAGAGAGACCAGAGAGAGAGACTAGAGAGAGAGACGAGAGAGAGAGGCTAGAGAGAGAGAGACTAGAGAGAGAGACCAGAGAGAGAGACTAGAGGGAGAGACCAGAGAGAGGGACTAGAGAGAGAGACTAGAGAGAGAGACCATAGAGAGAGACTAGAGAGAGAGACTAGATAGAGAGAGACTAGAGAGAGAGACCAGAGAGAGAGACCAGATAGAGAGAGACCAGAGAGAGAGACCACAAAGAGAGATCAGAAAGAGAGACCAGAGAGAGACTAGAGAGAGAGAGAGACTAGAGACCAGAGAGAGGCCAGAGGGAGACCAGAGGGAGACCCGAGAGAGAACAGAGAAAGACCAGAGAGAGAGAGACTAGAGAGAGAGAGACCAGAGAGAGACCAGAAAGAGAGACTAGAGAGAGACCAGAGAGAGACCAGAGAGAGAGACTAGAGAGAGACCAGAGAGAGAGACTAGAGAGAGACCAGAGAGAGGGACTAGAGAGAGAGACTAGAGAGAGAGACCAGAGAGAGACCAGAAAGAGAGACTAGAGAGAGAGACTAGAGAGAGAGAGACTAGAGAGAGAGACCAGAGAGAGACTAGAGAGAGAGACCACAAAGAGAGATCAGAGAGAGAGACCAGAGAGAGACTAGAGAGAGAGAGAGAGACTAGAGACCAGAGAGAGACCAGAGGGAGGCCAGAGGGAGACCCAAGAGAGAACAGAGAAAGACTAGCGAGATAGACTGGAAAGAGACTAGAGAGAGACCAGAGTGAGAAAGAGACCAGAAAGAGACCAGAGAGAGACCAGAGAGAGACTATCGAGAGAGGCTAGAGAGAGAGAGATCATCGAGAGAGAACAGAGAGAGAGAGAGACCAAAGAAAGACAAGAGAGAGAGCCTAGAGATAAAGATTGCTCAGATGACGGCAGATGGACCAAAGTGACACCAGAAGTCATTTTGACGGCTTTTACTCTTGGATTGTAGAATGTACATTTCTGGTCTTCAAAACTTAACGACTTTTTTCGATT